GGCACACAGTTCAGTTGTTACATCATTAGTACAACGCGCTGCCCATCATGGCGTTTATCATTTTAAAGAGGGCATATAGTGATAATTTATGTCACAGTAGTACAAGGCAAAATCCTTTGCAATCTTACCGTAGTGCCTGTTACAACACGCTGTGAGATATTCACTGATAGATCTTATGTGCTCTCTGCTCTGGGCTTACCCAGAAGTGTGATTGGTATGTAGATCTCTTGAGTGAAGTCCCGTGGCAGCTCACACCAGCTTACCTATGGACCTGAAAAGTCACTAGGGAGACAACTGCTATCTGAAGTGAAGTTGGTCCAGATTTCTCTTGCCCTAGTCTGGAAAGAGGTTTCCATGTGCCCTGTAACCTTCTGGGTCCAGCTGTAAGCTGTGCTAAAGGGAATCGTGTAGAAGAAACCAAAGTCCTTGACCCAGCATCACATGTATTTAGGAAGCTTGCCGTAGGAAGGAGTGATGGGAAGATAAAATATTTAATAAAGATAAATTTTGCCCTGAGAGAAGCAAGAGCACTTACTTACTTTATTTAAATATGTATTCCTTCCCTCATAGCTCAAGGCTGCCTACAAATAGCAATTTAAAGCCTACAAACTGCAATGAAGCCCCAAGGACCCCCTCCAAATGCTTACTGTCTACACCCCAGTAAAAGACCTAGCCAAGAATTTACTTTATTTATATCCCACCTTTCTCCCCAGTGGGAACCCAAAGAGGCCGACATCATTCTCCTCTCCTCTGTTTTATCCTCACAACAATCCTGTGAGGTAGGTTAGGCTGAGAACGAGTGACTGGCCCAAGGTCACCCAGCGAGCTTCCGTGGCATCAGTGGGGATTCGAACCTGGTTCTCCCAGATCCTAGTCCAGCATTCTAACCACTACACCACACTGGCTCTCATAAAAGGGCCTTGTGGTGCCTCCTAGAAATGTCTGGATGGTAGCCCCCGTTTCGCTTTGGATTCTTTCAGAAAACTTCTAAAAAGTTAAGAGCTGCTACATCTAATCGTGGTTAACTCCCTCAGTCATTCTTGTTTCTCCCCTTAAAAGAGCCACAAAAGCAACTTGGGTAAATTTCACTGGCATAGGGTTGCCAAGTCCATCTTCCACCCCCAGCAGGGGACTTTGGGGGTGTTCCTGGAGGGGGCGGGGCATCCCCGATGTGATGACATCACGTTGGGGACGTCCGCCGCCCCCACCACCCGCCCGTGTGCCAGATCTCCAGAAACGGCAGTTCCCTGCATTTAAAGGAACGGCAGTTCCCTGCACTTAAAGGAGCCGGTGTTTCCCTTTTAAATGCAGGAGCCGGCGTTTCCCCTTTAAGAGCAGCCGCGTTTCCCTTTTAAGAGCACGAAGCTGGCATTTCCCTGCAAGCTTGCGGAGATCAGGCTTGGGAGGAAACACGGGTTCCACACACTTAAAGGGAGAGAGAGGGGTGGCTGTGGGTGTTGGGGGTGGGGCTTCCCCCACGGCGGCGGGTAGAATCCCCCAAAAAACGGGGGACCCCTGGCAAACCGGGGGGGGGGGTTGGCAACCCTACGACTGGCAACAAGTTATAAACAGCACGGGGAGCCATGTGTTTTCACACCCTTGTTCAGAGTGATAGGGTGCGTTTCAACAGATTTGAACTCTGGCATTGTCATTCCACAAATCCGCACAGCGGGGCCGTATCCACAAGTTGCTGTCTCCCAGTCTCAACAACAAAAACAAAACCTGAATGCCTAGAGTTTCACAACTAGGGCCAGGATTATATTTACACAAGTGCTTCTAAAACTGCTGCAGAGATCAGTGACTGGATCAAAGTGAAGGAACCGTGCGGGGGTGGGGTGGAGGGACACAGTACTAACTTAACAGTAACAGTCCTTGCAAGAACGTAAAACAAAGGAGGTTTGTTTTTCTAAATGCATGTTCACCAATTTCTTTAATAAGCTTCAAAGGAAGGCAAGTCTGGTTCTCAGCAATGCTCCCTCTAAGCTGTGGAGTCTAGTGAGCAAAAATTCTGCTTTGTGAGCTGCTTGCATTCAAGTGGTGAGCAAGTGAGTTGGCTGCTGCATAAATTAGTTTGCTCTGGATCCATCCTTCCTGAGCGAAGACAAAAATCTGTGAGCCGGAGGCTAAAGAACTGTGAGCTAGCTCACACTAACTCAGCTTAGAGGGAACACCGGTTCTCAATAAAGAGAATGAAACTGAAAACAGACCAGATAATAGACGTGAGGCTGGCAGGAAAATCCAGTGAGGTTGGGGGTATCAATTTGCCCAGTTCAGCAGTTCTGGGACCCTGACTTCCTGCTGGAGAAGCAGGTAGTGTCAGTGGCCCCAGTTGCCCTTATTCAGCTGTTGTGTAAGTTCCATCCCATTTTTGGAAAGGTGGGATCTCGCCATGTTCATCTATTATTTTTACTCTCTAGGATTGATCAGTGTAGCACTTTTTACTTGGACCTGTCTCTTAAGGCAACTTGTCAGTACTTGCCGGTGACAGAGTGCTTGCTGCTGATACACGGAGGTCATACATCGTCAGAGTTACAGCAGTTGCACTAAACTGCCTGTAGGCTTTGGGACTCGCAGTGTTCCCTCTAAGCTGAGTTAGTGTGAGCTAGCTCACAGTTTTTTAGCCTCTGGCTCACACATTTTTCTCTTAGCTCAGGAAGGACGGCTCCAGAGCAAACTGATTTATGCAGTAGCCAAATCGCTCGCTCACAACTTTAATGCCAGTAACTCACAAAGCAGAACTTTTGCTCACAAGACTCCACAGCTTAGAGGGAACATTGTTTGGGAGCTCAGTTAAAGGTGTGCTTCCCTTGAAATTCTGTCACAGTCTGTGACCTACATTCCATAAGGACCATCTCGCCTAATGTGAGCCCAGTTTCAAAGATTTTCTTTGCGGTACATAACTGGATTCTAGCCAAGACTCAGGGCCTTTACTGTAATAGTCCCAAGCCTATGGAATGAGCTCCTTGAAGGGGTTACAGGCTATGCTTCCCTCACTGCCTTCTGGAAGCCTGATTTTGGGAGACTGCTTCACCGGTGTGTAGAGCTGCTAACCTTAGGATTGCCAGGTCCTTACCTCATGCTGCTGGGGGACGGGAGGGAGCTTTCCTGGAGTGGGAGGCGGGGCGGCGTCCCTGAGGTGATGACATCACACAGACCTGACGTCATCCCACCAGGGTCATTGTGCAGTGACACTCTGTTTTTTGGGCAAACTCTGTGGTAAAGTTGGGCTGAGACCATAGAGTTTCATCCAAAAACCAGAGTGACGCGTATGATGTCCCCGGCATGATGACATCACTTCTGCAGGACGTCTTCACGTTGGGGGTGTCACGTGGGGTTGTGGCTGTTTAGGGGAGGGCAGGAGCCCATGAAATCAGGGGAATCCCCCGCTCCCACCTGGAGACTGGCAACCCTAGCTAATCTCCAGGCAGGGTCTGGGGATCTCCTGGAATGACAACTGATCCAAAGACTGCATAGATAGCTTATTTATATATTTACTTAAAACATTGATTCCATGTCTCCTGGAGAAACTGGCTCCTTTGGAAGGTGGACTGTGCGGCATTATATCCTACGCAGGCTCCTCCCCTCCTTTAAAGCCCACCCTCAGATCTCCAGGTATTTCCGAAACTAGATGAGGCAATCCTACTGAAGGGTTCTTGCTTTTTTGCTCTTTTTTCTTGACTGCTTTCCTTTTTATGGCCGTTGCTGATTTTATGTCGCTTTTTGTGCTGCCTCAAAAATGTAAAAAGCAGCATGCACATTATGTTTTTAATTAATAACAAGTACATTAGTAAAAACATCCCTATTCTGATCAGAGATCAAGGGAAAGTCCGAGCCAGTCGGCTCATGCAGCTGATGTAGATGGGGATCCCATTGAAATGCTTATTTGGGACATGTCTCTGGTTCCAGCACTGCCTTAGCGTGTGTCAGGAGATCGAGGGTGGTTCCTGAGGAGGATGGAGTTTGGGGAGGATGTGATGTCACTTCTGGGTAGCCATTTTCTCTCCCATTCCTCAGTTTCTTGAAGGCAGGGGATTGAGGCCAAGGGCGGAGGTTTACCACCCACCATGGGCGGGAAAATGGCAAGCCTTGCCACATTCAACTTCACAGCTGTGTCTGTGGATGGGGAGGGACATTCCCATTCCAGGACACGCATTATGTACAACTAGAGGTCATATCATGGGGTCACCAGTGAAACCTGCTTATTGCCTTTCAGCTGGAAAGGCTGGAGTGGAGGGGAAACTACTCTTTTCATATGGCTATAGGCAGGGGTCATTTCGTAGAAAAAGAGGTGCAGGAGCTCATTAGCATAACTTATTTGCATATGCCACACCCCCTGACATCACCGGAAGTGTGTCAGAAGGCAACACCCACTGCTCAGGCTCCACAGGACTGTTTTGGATTTCTAGCTATTGGGGGGGGGGGAATGCACAGATCTGCCCTCATAGAGGAGGGAGAGCTTGTACCTGAATAAAACTTGGTCTTAAAGGTGACACTGGACTGTTTTGGATTGCTAGCTGTGTGTGGGGGACACGCAGATCTGCCCTCACAGAGGAGGGAGAGCTTGTACCTGAAGGTGGGCCGGGGGGGGGGCTCTGCAACTTACCTGGCTGCTTCTTGCTCCTTGTGGCCTGACTGAGGACTGCTGGGAGCAGGGGGCAGGGCTTGTTGCATGTGCCCGCCCCCTGGGCTCCTTACTGCTGGAGCTCCGCTCCTGTGCGCTCCCATAGTAAATGACCCCTGGCTATAGGGCTTAACCATGGTTAGTGCAAACCAGGGCTCTAGTCGGGGGGGAGCTCTCAGGTACGGAGCTCCGGAAGAGAACCTCTAGGGGGCGGAGCGGTCACGTGGTGAAGCCCCGCCCCCTTCTTTACCCCGCCCTCTGCTTCGATCCTCATTCCGTTTGGGAATGAGGATGAAGCAGGAGGGTAAGTAGCCGGGCCTTCTGACACACTTCCGGTGATGTCAGGGGGTGTGGCCTTCTGTCACTTCCGGTGATGTCAGGGGGCGTGGCATATGCAAATAAGTTATGCTAATGAGTTATGCTAATGAGCTCCGGCAGCTCTTTTTCTACAACAAGACCCCTGGTGCAAACCATAGTTTGCAAACCCATTTCAAGCCAAGGTTTTATGTCCTGGTTTGTGGCCAATCCTTAATCATAACTGAGGTGTTCAGATATAATGCTTAATCATGGTTATGGAAAATAAGCCTTGGCTAAGCATTACATTTTTTGAGGACGTAGCGTTGGCAGACTCCAAAAGCCACCTACTGTTGTTTTTCTGAAAAGGCGGCCCATAAGACTGTATCCATTGTCATCCTGATTTTTAATAGTTTCCCTTTGCTTGCAGCACTGGCTTAATGTTTGCGCAACATTTGGCAGGTTCTCATAGACCTGATGGCACATTGGCACAGCCGTGAACAATTCTCATCTTGAGCGTTTGTTTGCTGGTGCAGAGAGCAGTGTGGTTTTTAAAAAAAAACTTTTGTTGTTGTTGCAGGTTAGTAGTAAAGATGAAGACTTTCTTGATCTCTCTGTTGATGTGGAACAGAACACGTCCATTACTCACTGCTTAAGGTAAATGTCTCGCTGCTGCAGAAATGCCTGCCGAGGGAATCAAGAGCGGGGCTTGCTCTTTGATCACTTTAGATTAGTGGGATTTGAAAAGAAAATGATATGAGGTTTCCAGTCTGATGTGGCGTAAACCAAATCAAGGAATATAAATGGAGTTTTGATGGGCGGGAAGCGAGTGGGAGTATAGATCAATCGTGGTGCAAATGGAATATTGTGTAAAAGAACTGCAGGCTTTGGAATTGCTTACTTCAGTAGAGTTCCACTGTAGTTAGTGGCATTACTCTGGAGCAAGTGAGATTATGTGTGTATATACATAATAGATACCTGTTGTGAAAATAATTCATCATCGGTCTGTCAGAGAGCCTCCTGATACAGTGCTTTTGCTGGAGATTTTAGCAACAGTAACATGTGTGGGAAATCCTTAATGTGTCTTGTAGCTGAATGCAAATTGTAATATATACAGTGTTTCTAAACACTGATCAAACTGAAGGTGGGCTTTCACAAATGGTTAAAGTTAAAAATCTGCTGTAAAGGTAAATGTTCCCTTGCTCGAAAGCCAGTCGAATCCGACTCTAGGGTTGTGGTGCTTATCTCCGTTTCAAAGCCGAAGAGCCAGCGCTGTCCAAAGATGTTTCTGTGGTCATGTGGCTGCCATGACTAAACACCAAGGCATACGGAACGCTGTTACCTTCCCACCAAAGTGGTACCTAATTTCTTGCTTTCGAACTGCTAGGTTGGCAGGAGCTGGAAGTAGAGACGGGAGCTCACTCCGTCTTGCGGCACCCGGGTCTCGAACTGCTGAACTACCGACCTTCCACAGCCTGCAGTTCAGCGTCTTAACCACTTGAGCCACCGCAGCTCCACAAAAAATCTGCTGAGGCTATAGCAATAGTTGGATCGAGCCCTAGCAAGAGATGTACTCTTTGCTATGGACATGCCTAAGACCTTATTGAGCCTATGGGCACTTGGGGAATTTTAATTGGGGGGGGGTCAAGCCCTTGACAGACCACTGTGTATGGCTGGCAGAATGTGTCCTGTCACAATTTGAAATTAGATGTAGACTGGGGGTTCCCAACCTTTTTGAGCCTGCGGGTACATTTGGAATTCTGACACAGGAAGGTGGACGCAGGAACAAAATGGCTGATGCTGCAGAAGGCGGAACCAGCTGCAAAACGATGGCCATAGCTTAACTTCCGCAACACAGTGTAGATCCTGGTGGTAGTAGTGGTGGTGGTGGTGGTGGTGGTGGTGGCAGCTGCGGCTGCCAAAGCAACATTTTAAAAGAATCTGCACAGCCAATCAAATCTCTGATAGCCAATCAGAAGCCTTGCTGGGCAAAAGCCCTATCTGGCCCCACCCACTTCCTACAAACACTTGGCAGACACCAAAAAGGGTGTGGCCGTGCACCATGACACCCACAGGCCCCACAATGGGGACCCCTGATGTAAACTTTCATGTGCCCAGGACGTCTGGATGACAAGTACACATAAAGAGGCTGCCTCAACATCTTCCTTGCCCTGGAGCTTCACCAAAATCTGAGCCTTTTTAGAAGGTTTCTAAAAGATATATTTATGCAACTTTCCAACTGGAAAACACTGATGGGCATTGTACTCCATTGAAGTCCCTCCCTTCCCCAAAACCCACCCTCCTCAGGCTCCGTCGCCAAAATCTCCAGGTGTTTGCCAACCTGGCGCCAGCAACCCCTACTTGAGACTACTGGAAGATCTGCAGGAGTCACAGCCAGTGTTCCCTCTAAGCTGAGCTGGTGTGAGCTAGCTCACAGGTTTTTAGCCTCCAGCTCACACATTTTTTTGTCTTCGCTCAGGAAGGACGGCTCCAGAGCGAACTCATTGATGCAGCGGCCGAATTGCTCCCTCACAACTTTAATGTCAGTAGCTCACAAAGTAGAATTTTTGCTCACAGGACTCCACAGGTTAGAGGGAGCGCTGGTCACAGCCTGTCGGAATTTGCCCAAGAAACTGTGTGGAAGATGTTCAGTCCTATGGGCACTGTAACTATGGATTCTCAACCAGTAATCTGTTACCGCCAGCAGCCTGTATAACCCAGACTAGCCTAGAGCTAAGCAGGGCTGTCCATGGTTAGCACTTGGAGACCACCAAGTAAGACCTGGGTTGCACCTTTTGCCCTGAAAACCCACAAGGGGTTGGCCATGAATCAGTTGTGAATTGAAGGCCCTTACTTATTGTTATTAATCAGTTACTGCCAATGTTCCCTCTAAGATGAGTTAGTGTGAGCCAGCTCAGTTTTTTCACCTCCAGCTCACACATTTTTGTCTTAGCTCAGGAAGGATGGGGGCTCCAGAGCAAACTAATTTATGCAGTAGCCAAACTGCTCACTCACAACATTAATGCCACTAGCTCATGAAGTAGAATTTTTGCTCACAGGATTTCACAGCTTAGAGGGAACATTGGTTACAGCTATAGTGAAACATACAGACAGAAAACCCCCTTTTTTTTCCCCCCCCTTTTCCCATGTCAAAGGGGGGGGGGGGGGGAATGATCTCAGAGCAGTCTCTGTGATGGCAAAATGGGTTGTTCTTCTATATCAATTAATGTAACATAAAACAAATTGTTGGCAGGGTTCCTAAGTGTACTTTGGAAATTATAATTGCCATGTTCAAGAACAGAAATGTACTTGTTTGATCTTAATTGTATAAGTAATGGAAAGAGCTGGAAAGAGAAATGTATAAACAGGAGCTTTTCGTCGGGATGCCAGCCTCCAGGTGGGACCTGGGGATCCCCTGGAATGACAGCTCAACTCCAGACTACAGAGATCGCAGTTCCCCTGAAGAAAATGTAGGCTTTGGAGGGCGGGCTCTACGGCATTGCACCCCACTGAGGTCCCTGTCTTCCCCAGGCTCCATCCCCAAATCTCCAGGAGTTTCCCAACCTGGACCTGGCAACCCTGCCCCCCATTTCCCACAAGTGGCCGAGTGGGGGACGGGACCTGGCAACCCTATTTCAGAGGCCACAGCTCTGTTAACATTACACCCAACCTTCTTTCTTGCTAGCTTTCTTTGGATGAAAAGGCCTTCTGTGTTTAAGCCTCCAACCATAGCTCTTTTCCTCTGAGTATCAGTGCTGGCATAAAAAGTAAACACAGTAGAATTCATATAACAACACAATAAATCATATATTAATTATTTTTATTCCCACAAGGAATTACAAAGGCCAGTTGAATTCAGTCAGTCTTAGCCTTACTCTCAATCGCAGTCTTTATTTCATTTTGTTTGCGTTATTAAAAATGTTTCTGGTTTAAAAAAAACACACACAAAAAAAACCTTTTTCTTGTGAATAAACAACACCTCCAATATATTTCCTGTCAGAGTGAACAGCTTTTATTTGAGCTGGTAGAGAGAAGTGTGAGAATATCTATTTTGATTTTGGTTAGAAATGTAGCACTTTGTCATGTATTGAAGGTTTTGCTATTAAGGAATATGTTGACATTCAGTTAAAACTAGACTTAAATGAAATGCAGAGAATTGGGTGATGGCTAGGATAGGGGTCAGCTGCTGGCTGGCCAAATCTGTTTGTTTCCTTGAAATATTTATTAGCTGCCTCTGTAATAAAAATGCCTCTTGCAGCATTCAGTAGTAATAAAATTCAATATAAATAATTAAAGCAGCAGAATAAAACGTTTTAAGTCCTTTTTGTGCAGTCTTGTCTCAGCAGAAGTCAGTGTCAGGTATCAGGTCTGAAACCAAGGCCTGAGTCAGTCAGCCAGTCAGCTTTTTTCCAGCTTGCCACTGGAAATGGGAAGCCTGATCCTGACGAAGAGCAGGTTCCAACATACCATCTGTCTAAGAACATGAGAGAAGCCATGTTGGATCAGGCCAATGGTCCATCAAGTCCAATACTCTGTGTCACACAGTGGCCAAAACTCACATGCCATCAGGAGGTCCACCAGCATATTTGCAGATAAATAAAATGTCTCGCCTTCACTCTGATTTGGACTGTAAATTAGCAGTTGACAGGGTTGGGTGGTACATAAGAACATAAGAGAAGCCAGTGTTGGATCAGGCCAAAGGCCCATCCAGTCCAACACTCTGTCACACAGTGGCCAAAAATACCAGGTGCTATCAGGAGGTCCACCAGTGGGGCCAGGACATTAGAGGCCCTCCCACTGTTGACCCCCCCACCAAGCTCCAAGAAGACAGAGCATCACTTGCCCCAGAGTCCCTATCTATACCTTGTGGCTAATAGCCACTGATGGACCTCTGCTCCATATGCTTATCTAATTCCCTTTTGAAGCCATCCATGCTTGTAGCCGCCACCACCTCCTGTGGCACTGAATTCCATGTGTTAATCACTCTTTGGGTGAAGAAGTACTTCCTTTTATCCGTTCTAACCCGACCGCTCAGCAATTTCATGGAGTGCCCACGAGTTTTTGTATTGTGAGAAAGGGAGAAAAGTACCTCTTTCTCTACCTGCTCTATCCCATGCATATTCTTATAAACCTCAATCATGTCACCCCTCAGTCGTCGTTTCTCCAAGCTAAAGAGCCCTAAGCGCTTTAACCTTTCCTCATAGGGAAAGTGTTCCAACCCTTTTATCATTCGAGTTGCCCTTTTCTGCACTTTTTCCAAAGCTATAATCTCCTTTTTAAGGTGTGGTGACCAGAACTGCACACAGTATTCCAAATGAGGTCGCACCATTGATTTATATAGGGGCACTATGATACTGGCTGATCTGCTGTCAATACCCTTCCTAATAATCCCCAGCGTAGCATTGGCCTTCTTTATTGCAGTCACACACTGTCTCGACATTTTCAGTGAGTTATCTACTACGACTCCAAGATCTCTCTCTTGTTCAGTCTCTGCCAGTTCAGACCCCATCAGGGTGCTGACTTGTCCAGTTGTTTTGGGATACTTTCTGTTTATGCCATCTGAGGATGTGGACAGAATCCTTGGAAATTTGAGGCCTACTACCTGCTTGTATGTCCCTTGCCCTTCCTGGTCACTTAAATGTACCGGGGGGGGGGGCTGGCTGGGTTTGAGATGTAGTTAATGCTTCCTAAAGAGAGGAGGTGGTCGCCCCAGCCTTGAAACAGGCTGTGGTGTGTCCCCTTTGAAAGGAACCTACCCTGAACCCAGGAGATCGCAGTAATTAACAACCAGTGTTAAATGTTCCATTCTTGAGCAAGGTGATTGAACAGGTGGTGGCCGTAGAAACCCCGAACTGGTGCCTGGAGGCAGTTTGGGGAGTGGATACGGGCTAGTAAACTGAGGTTTAATCCTGACAAGACAGAAGTACTACTGGTGGGCGGAAGGTCTGACCCGTGATTTAAGGTGTTACCCATACTGCATGGGGCTGCCATTCCCCTTGAAGGAACAGGTCCATAGTCTGGATGCGCTCTTGGACCCAGGCCTCCAGCTGGATAAGCAGGTGTCAGTTGTGGCCAGGAGTGCCTTTTACCAGCTTTGACTGGTTAGCCGGCTGCAGCCTTGCCTGGGCAGAAAAGATCTGGCCACAGTGGTGCATGCCCTGGTTACATCTAGACTAGATCACTGCAATACACTGTCCACGGGGCTGCCCTTGAGATGTGTTCAGAAACTTCAGTTGGTACAGAACGCTGCAGCCAGGATGTTGACTGGAGTGGGTTGCAGGGACCATATCTCTCCAGACTTGGCCCATCTACACTGGTTCTCAGTTTATTTCTGGGCACAATTCAAATTGTTGGTCTTGCCCATCAAAACGCTTTTATGGCTTGGGACCAACATACCTGAAGGACTGCCTACTCCCTTATGAACCCATCTGACCACTGCAGTCATCTTTGGGTGCCCCCGCCTTCCGAGATTAGGCAGGTGGCAACCTGGGGGGGAGGGCCTTCTGGGTTGTGGCACCAAAGCTCTGGAACTTTAACCCAGGGAGATTCTTCTGTCTCCTTCCATTGCTACCTTCTGCCAGGGGGTGAAGGCCTTTTTGTTTCATTTGGCATCTCCTCCATGACCTCTCCTTCCTGACCAACGTTTTAATTGCAGTTTTTACATCTTTATATGCTTGCAACACTGTTTTTTAATTTATTTTAATGAATGTTGTTGGGGGGGGAGTTGATTTTAATGGCTGAGGAGAGATTATTTGAACCTGGGTCTCCGATATCCTAACTACTAAACTGCAAGAACCTTCATGGCTTGCGTGCATATGCCAGGGCAGCAGAATTCCATCCAAACTTTTTATACCCCCCCCCCCCGCCCAACATCTTTGATGTCTTGAGTTAATGGTACAGTAAAGTTGCCTGTATTGTACTTGACAGCTAATTCAATGGGTAGTTGAAGACTTTTGTAGACTTTAAGAATTGGGAACTCTGTTGATTTTCAGAGACTTCAGCAACACGGAAACCTTGTGCAGTGAACAGAAGTACTACTGCGAGATGTGCTGCAGCAAACAGGAGGCACAAAAGCGGTAAGGAAAGAGCACTATGGTTGGCCCCCTGTTTCCTTTGCCTGGGTTCTGGTGCAATTCCCTGTTTCCTTTGTCTGGAATTGGCATCCCCATCTGGGTTCCCCCCCCCCACACACACACACACTCTCTCTCTCTCACTGGATCAGCATGCAGTTGAGCCCCGAGCTGCTTGGCTTGGTTGGTGGTTCAAGCTGACCTGGGCAGGTGGGGGGAGTTCTTGGCCCGCCTCACCTGGGGCATGGAAAGCCCTTGGACTTGCTCTGCCCACATACCTGCAGGACCACCTCTCCTGCTGTGCCCCTTTCACTCATCCGAGCAAAGCCTTCTGAAGGAGCCAGCCTACAAATGGGTAAGATTGGCAGCTGTCTGTTCCTGTGCATTCTCAACTTGTGGTGCCCACTATACAGCACGGCCTGCCTGAGGCAGGTCCGGAAGCTCCTACACTCCTGTTCTTTGGCAAAATGTTCTAAATAGAGATGTTCAGGAGGGTCTTTTTACGGAGCAATTAGAATTGTAGCAGAAAGGGCACCTCGGTAATGGAACCAGCTTGTAGTCTATTGCAATGATTAGGTATAGAATGCTGCTTTTTCTGCATTGTTCTTTGTCTTTCTACTTTCACACACTATATTGTTTACAGTATACCTTGCGTTAGGCAGTTTGTTGTTCACAGTGTCTTTCAGTTCTGTACTTATAGCATTGTTCATTGTATGTCTTATGTTGTAGGAGTACGCAAGCTATTATTGTACATTATTACTTTGACTTTACAGACTTGATTCATCTGGTAGAAGAAGAGGACTGTCTTAAATGAAATAGCTTTTAAAGAACAAAAAAGCTTTGGCTTTTTTCTCTCCCCCCTAGAATTAGGCCGTTAAACATGTGGTTCTTATTTTGCGTAATTTTGACTTTGCTACAGGATGAGGGTAAAAAAGCTGCCCATGATCCTTGCATTGCACCTGAAGAGGTTTAAATATATGGAGCAACTGCACCGGTACACCAAACTCTCTTACCGAGTGGTGTTCCCTCTGGAGCTGCGCTTGTTCAACACATCGGGAGACGCGATAAACTTGGACCGCATGTATGATTTGGTGGCTGTTGTTGTTCACTGTGGCAGGTAAACCACACCCTGGTGCATTTGGGGAAATCTTTTCTGTACAGAGAACATTAGCAGTCTTGGGGGGAACAACAGGATAAAGCCACTATCTTTGTGTCCTACGCATGAGATTCCAGAGACATCTCGCTGACTGCTGTTTGAAGTGTTTGATCAGATCCGACAGACCCGTTTGATTAATGGTGAAGCCAGGGCTATTTTTGGGCAGGAACGCACAGGAACGGGGTTCCGGCTGGCTCCCAAGTTGGCCACGCCCAGCAGGAACTCATTAGCATAATAGGCCACACCCAACAGCAGAAATTCATTAGGATTGGCTACATTAGGGGTGTGTGGCCTAACATGCAAAGGAGTTCCTGCTACAAAAAAAAGCCCTGGGTTTTGACAACAAACAAGCTAAACAGAATAACAAGCAAAAAGGTGAGTGTGGCTGGATGAGCACACTTCTGGTAACATGAGCTGTGCTGTCAGGGGTGTGGCCCAATATGCTAATTAGTTCCTAATGTTGGGTGTGGCCTGTTATGCTAATGAGTTCCTGCTGGGCTTTTTCTACAAAAAGTCCTGGGTGAAGCCTTCCTTCACTGCAAAGAATCTTCCCCTGACTTACTGGAACTGATTCCCAGGGTCCAAGTCCACAGTGCTGGACCAGATGGATTTTAGGGTCTAACTACATGTTGCACAGTCCTTGTGTCACTTCTAGGTCCATCATGAGTTTGGTGTAGTGGTTAAGAGTGGCAGACTCTAATGTGGAGTACCGGGTTTGATTCCCCACCCCTCCACATGCAGCCAGCTGGGTGACCTTGGGTCAGTCTCAGTTCTCTCAAGAGCAGTTCTCTCAGAACTCTCTCAGCCCCACCTACCTCACAGGGTGTCTGTTGTGGGGAGAGGAAAAGAAGGAGATTGCAAACTTCTCTGAGACTCCGAGTGAAGGGCGGGGTATAAATCCAACTCTTATCCTTCTCCTTCTTCTCTAGCAGACAAGTGCTGTGAGTTCCCTGTTGAATTCCCGGGTGTGTAAAGGCCTGATTCAGATTGGGACCTCAGTGCATGGGGAGAGGGGGCTTAAGCCTTCCCCTTCCACCATTTTCCCAACTTGACAAGTCCCCAGCTGGATACGGCTTGCCCTGTTGGAGGAACCTATGTGTACCATATCAATATACATGGAACACCCAATGGGGCAAATAGCATCCCTGTTTCAGGTCACGCAAACAGCATGGGGGAGAAGACTTAAGTTCCCTCTCTGCCTGTGCCGGGCTTCCAATTTGTCCATGCCTGAGAACTGAGTTTTAGAGCAGTACACACAATTTGCAAATGCCTCCACTACACTTATATGTGCACCAGAACCTGCTGGAGTGTGTCTGAGGCAGGACGGGAGGGAGAGAAGCGAGTTGCAGTGCAGTCCTCCCAAGTGTGACCACACTCTCAGCCCTTTGAAATTAATGGAAACCCATGAAGCAGCATCAGACCATTTAGTTTACCAAGGTCAGTATTATCTATTTTGACTGGCAGTGGCTTTCCAGGGTCCCGAGAAGCCTTTCACATCATCCCACGACTTGATCACTCACTACCTGATCCTTCTAACTGGAAATGCCAGGGATTGACCCTGGTATCTACTGCATGCAAAGCAGGTACTGCCACTCCCCAACTTAGAGGGACTTAGGCTGGAATAACTTTGCATATGGTTGCGCCGTTAGACTATCAGATGAGTTGAGAAGGATACAAACACCCATGTGTTCTGATATCCCAGAAAGTCTTACGAATTTACCTGTGTAATTATGTATCTATGTTTGTGCTTGTACATGGACTCAAACTCTAATATTTCTAAGTTTAATACGATTATATTTATATACACCAAGGCAGGCCCAGTTCTCTAATTCTGCCGTTCTTCTCTTACCTTCATAGCGGGCCCAATCGTGGCCATTATATTACCATTGTGAAAAGTCACGGATTCTGGCTTTTGTTCGACGACGATATCGTAGAGGTCAGTGTGCTGATAATATTGGAGTAGAATTTAAGGATGTCAGGTTGGCTTCTTGATATGATGTGGCTTGCCGCTTGCGCGTTATTTTCTTCGTAAATCACCAAACCGTAAACATTTAGAAGATGAGAAGCAAATGGGAGCTAAATTTCAATCACCCTCAATAAATGGTTATTGGAGCATAATCTGCACATAAATTGTTTAAACAAAATAGATGCATAGTGCACATGCAGCACTGATGGGGAGCAAAATGGATCATGCCACGTCTAGCAGGAGGCCCCATATTTAATCCTTACTTACTTTACACTCTCCTGGGGACAGGATGTCTGGCAAGAGCATTTGATTGTTGCAAACATTAACATGCATTGCACGATATAAAGGATTTTAAAAGGGAAAAAAATCTAATTGCAGCATGTTTCCCCTTCTCCCTTCTCTGAGAGGCCTTAAGTCATTGCTAGCTTCCTAAAGGAAGTTGTAGAAGCCACGGCTTTTAAAGGAGAACCATAGGCGCACACCAATGGCTAGAGAGTCTCCGTTCTTTCAGATGGCTTGGAATTAGAATTGTACCACCAGCCAATACCAAAAGCCTAATTCCTTGAGAGTATAATGCAAATGGTGTAATTGCCACAGTCTGAAAAGATTAAATGAAATCATCATGGAATTGTTGAGGTGGATTCAATAGGGGGCAAACTACTACCTCAACATGCCAACTGCACCTACTATTATAACAAGAAATACATGAAAACACTAATAGATTAGACTAGATGTTAGTGTAGACCTACCTGGCAGCGTCGATCTACCTGGCATCTAGATACTTCACTGTCTTAGCACATATCTGGAAGTTCAAGACACAATTCTAGGATAAAGAGGGGATACCATTTTGGACAAGAGTTTACACATCTTCCTGACTTTAATTAGGACTCATGAATTCGATAAGTGGCTGGTTGCATGATTTGGGGATTAGCACAGATTATTCCAGTTTCCCAAACTGTTTGGGGGCATGGAGGTCAAGTCCGTCGGGAAGAAGAGCAGAAGTGCCCTGAAATAGGTCTGTACAACTTCTGACCCACTAGCTGAATGAAGCCCATCAGGCATGCAGGTGCTTGGCACCCTTCCAGTGAGGTTTCTCAGGCTCCTACTGAAGTTAACACTTGGAATTCACTGCCACAGGAAGTGGTGGCAGCTACTAGCATGGACGGCTTCAAAAGGGAATTAGATAAGCATATGGAGCAGAGGTCCATCAGTGGCTATTAGCTACAGGGTATAGATTGGGACTCTGGGGCAAGTGATGCTCTGTCATCGTGGTGCTTGGGGGGGGGGATAACAGTGGGAGGGCTTCTAATGTCCTGGCCCCACTGGTGGACCTCCGGATGGCACTGGTATTTCTGGCCACTGTGTGACACAGAGTGTTGGACTGGATGGGCCTTTGGCCTGATCCAACATTGGCATCTCTTATGTTGTTATGTTCTTAACTGCCCTACGTGGCAGGTGAGAGACATTTGGTCTGGCTGGCAGATCTGTCTTCAAACAATATTGTCCTGTTGTCTTATTACATGATTTTCTTTAAAATATGGATCAGTTTATTCTCTTAAATAAACTATCCGTGGAAGAGAACTCAAATGTGTCCTTTTTATCGTTTTGCACTATTTCCCAGAAAATCACAATTAATACGGACATACATTTGTCCTTGGAAAGAGATTAAATATTTCGCTGCAGTAATTCTGAGTGCAAAAGCGAACAGGACCAAATAAAGATTTAGGATGACTTACACCTGTAGCCGCGCACCCTAAGATCTGTTTTATCTGCCTTTTCTTAATATATTAATGCTTATTTTTATTTATTTTTTGCAGAAAATTGATGCACAGGCTATTGAAGAATTCTACGGTTTGACTTCTGATATATCAAAAAACTCAGAATCCGGATATATTTTATTTTATCAGTCAAGAGAGTAACTGCGAGCTCTGACACTTTCCCTCCCAAGATGAGAAACTTACCAATACTGTAAACTGGCCTCTACGTAGACCCATCCACTATGACCGAACAAGGATAAGCTCGTCTTTAAACTGTTGACTGAAACACTCCAACTTTGACTGGAAGATCTCTTTTCTTTAGTCTGACTCTCTCATTAACAAGAACATATTTATATGGACAAACATGCCCATCTGCTGAATGCTGCTGAACTGAGGTATAATGTTGCATAGATGTACATTACCATTAAGGACCATTTGTTTATTCTTTCTAAAGAACCGTTCCTTTGGACCAGTGGTTTTCAAACTGTATTCTGGGGAATGCTGGGCATTACTGGAAGGTTCTCACGGGGGGGGCCTGGATAAGAAAATCGGTCACGATGGACAACCCATCTTTGAAAGTACTGTGAATTCATATAGGGCAATGATGAGCCCAAACACACTCCTGGCTAAGCTGTAAAATGACAACACGCTCTAGAAACATATCCCAGAATCCCCTGCAAAGTACAGCGGGTTCCATGACAGACACGCAGGAGCGCCTCAGCCAATGGGCTCAAATTAAAAGGGTTCACAGAAGACAGAAAGTTTGAAAACCACTGTTTTATATATACAAGCAGCTCATTCTTGTGGTAAGTGGAAAGCAAAGAAATATATTTCCTAAGTGTTGGCACTGGAGTAGGTTCAGAGAATATGTCACATGGTGTTCTTCAGCTGGAAGGCTATTTATTTCCTCCTGATCCTTTTAAGCTTTGAGTTATTAAAACGTTAAATTGGCACTCCCAAAGTCATAAATTCTCTCAAAGGGATTTCAGTCCCACTGGGAACAAATCATACCGCATATCCAGTCTTCCTTCTTAGTGGGAGAACATACATGAGCCGAAAAGGTCCTTTGGATTCCCACACTGTATAAAAAGAGCTTTAGGGGGACTTTGCAGTGAAGGACAGAGGAAGTTGTACTTCCACATTATTTTTTCACTGTGTGATGGTGTCTTTTTAAACCCAAAGGTTTTACCTGACCTTGCACATGACATGCAGGCAAGCAGAAGTCTGGACATCGGGGGCATTGGTTCTGTGAAGCAGCAACACCTCTCACGAAAAACTCCACAGGGCTCAAGCACACTCAGCGCTCAGTGTGAGCAGAGGCATCCTCTGTGTTGGGGAATGTGACACGCACACATGGGGAATGTCATCCATGCACAACCACAGTCACTGGATCTGGGTGAATACCTGTCACCTGCTTGGTTCTGCAAAGGACTGGCATATGCGGGCTCACTGGGCCCAGGGACCTTGCAACAGGGGGTGGGTAGCAACTTCTCGGTGGGGTGGTGGCCCCTTACAAATGTGGCTGGATGGCGCAAGTGCAGAGTTCAAGCTTTTTATTCGCGTGGGTTATCTGTATGTAAAGAGCCTTCCCTTGCAGCCCCCAATCAGCAGGCAGGGAGTTTCTTTCGCTCCGTTCCTTCTCTTTCCCTCGAGTTCAGAGGGGGATTCCTTCGTTCCCATCCATCCCCTTCCATTGCTCACCCCCAGGCTTCACCTTGATGCCTCCTTTAAGGCCCTCCCTAACATCTGGACTCGCCCCTGTGCTTAGAGGCCACCTCCTGTCTGCTGATCCCACGCCTGGTGTAGCCCTGAAGGGGTTCTAGCTCTCCCTGTAGCAGCTGCTATGGCTGGCCAGCCCTGCTCTAGGGCACTGATCCTGGCCACACCCTCCACACTGGTCTCTGTGGGGCTGCGTCTGCTTGCACTGTGCCTTGGACTGGTCCCTCGCCCCAGAGACTCCAGGGCTATAACTGGCTTTTTGGCACGTCAAATTGATGGCATGGGGAGCTAGATGGCATGGCATTTTGCATGTTGTTCAGCAGCATCTTTACAAATCAGGTCCTGGCTTCCTTCCTGTTTGCATCAGAACCCAGGGCAGCTAGGAGTAGACTTGATTCTCACTGGTTTCCATTAGATTCTATGGGATAAAGAAAACGGGTTGCCATTGGCAGAATTCCTAGGGACGGCACAAAGTTTGCTTCCCCCCAAGAAACACACTTACCAGTGGCAAGGAGCAGGCTTAGGCTTCATCTTATCGGGGATCCTACGCTTGTTTGGAGCCAGTTTGGTGTAGTGGTTAAGTGCACGGACTCTAATCTGGGAGAACCGGGTTTGATTCCCCCCTCCTCCACTTGCACCTGCCGATGTGACCTTGGGTCAATCACAAGCTCTGGCACAGCTGTCCTTGAAAAACAGCAGTTTGTGTCAGAGTTCTCTCAGCCCCACCCACCTCACAGGGAGTCTGTTGTGGGGAGGGGAAGGGAAAGGAGTTTGTAAGCCGCTCTGAGACTCCAAGTGAAGGGCGGGGTATAAATCCAATCTCTTCTCTTCTTCTTCTTCTTCTTGTTCCTTTACTTTTTGCAGTATAAAGGAATGGCTGCCATTCACGCCCAGGGGGCTTCCACAGAGTTCTATGGGATGAAGTCAACCGTCCTCAAACCACCAGATTGTTTGGCAAGACATAAAAACTGTTGTCCTAAAAGGAAAGTTGGGCTCACCAGGGGCAAGAGACAGCGTTAGTTCTTATCACAGCCTCTTCCTGAGCTTTTACTGTCTGTGGCAGTGCCGAAAGTGAAGGGCTACTCTTGGGGATGCCATTTCAGAGGCAGTGGAGGCCTTGCCTTCCAGCCCTGGAACAATCAGGTGGCCTGGCTTCCACTGAGTGGGATCCCAGGGGCACTATGTGTCTCTGTGCACAACAGAACCTACAAGCCCTTTCTTCATCCCTCGTGTCTGTCCTGATGGTAGGAATTTTGCTAGCTGTGTGACCCTGAAAAACAATTTCCCTTGCAGGGAAGACCAATGTCCTATGTCAGTGATGGCGAACCTTTTAGAGACCGAGTGCCCAAACTGCGACCCAAAACCCACTTATTTATCGCAAAGTGCCAACACAGCAATTTAACCTGAATACTGAAGTTTTACTTTAGAAAAAACAACTCATATATTAACTTAAGATGATCCAAACAAAGTAAGGAAAGCAATCCCAAATGCTTTCATCTACTTAAAATTATTTGGCAGAGAATTCGACACTTTAATGATGGTCTGGGCCTGGCTGGGGTGATGGCACGCGTGCCCACAGAGAGGGCTCTGAGTGCCACCTCTGGAACCTGTGCCATAGGTTAACCACCACTGTCCTATGTACTAGCATGAGTTTGTCTGTTAGGGCCCTCCAAATGTCTTGAGAAGTTTTCTGTTTGCTTTGATAGCCGCACTCTGGCTAATAAGTGGCTACCCGAGTACTATTGCATAAATTGGGTTTTAAATGTCAATCTCGGAAGAATTTCTGTTGTACCGAACGAATGGCTCTGTGATTGAAGCGTTAAACTGTCTTGAAGCTTAGCCATTTGACGGTGTGTAGTGCATGAGCTCCTAATCCCTGGTTTTGGTCTAGGCGGAGTAAAAAGCGAAGGGCACGTCACTCTGTACAAGCCCCACCGAAGTGAACGGAAGCTGTGCAAGAGTACTTGTTCCTCCTCCTGGATTTCGCCCCAAACCCCTGAGAATCTATGACTCCACCTGAAGAAGTTCCAGAAGGAATCATAGGGATCATCCTTTCAATCTTTGTAAATTCCCCTCCTTATTACAATCCCCATCCCACATGGCTTTGGTCCTTGCAGGTAACATGATACCCAGTATAGCTGCTTTTTTTTTTTAGTGGTCAAATGGGATCACTTTTTCACCAGCAGAAAAGCTGGTTGGATCCCAGGGCTATTTTTGGGCAGGAACGCACAGGAACGGCGTTCCGGCTGACTCCTGAGCTGGCCACGCCCAGCAGGAACTCATTAGCATAATAGGCCACACCAAACAGCAGAAACTCATTAGGATTGGCTACATTCGGGGGGTGTGGCCTAACATGCAAAGGAGTTCCTGCTACAAAAAAAGGCCCTGGGTTTTGACAACAAACAAGGTAAACAGAATAACAAGCAAAAGGTGGGTGTGGCTGGATAACCACACTTCTGGTAACATGGGGGTGCGGCCTAATGTGCTAATGAGCTGTGCTGTCAGGGATGTGGCCCAATATGCTAATGAGTTCCTGCTGTTGGGTGTGGCCTATTATGCTAATGAGTTCCTGCTGGGCTTTTTCTACAAAAAAGAGCCCTGGATCTAACCTATTCGGGGAGGAGCTGTTGGTCAGTGGCTGAGTATCTGCTTTGCATGCAGAGGATCCCAGATTCAGTCCCTGGCATCTCCGTTTAAGGAGATCAGGTAGTCGTTGATGTGACAGGCCTCTAGCTGATAACCTGAGGAGTTGCTACGAGTCAGAGTAAACAATACTGACTTTGCTATATCAAGGGTCTGACTCAATATAAGGCAGTTTCATTTGCATTCATTATATCGCCAAATGTCCTTCTTTTTTAATTCATGCATGTGTTTGTTAGGAAAGAGTCCCTTTTAGTACTTTCTGGACAGAGATTTAATGACTGGCTTTGACAGATGAGCACCTTATTCCATTGTTCTTTTAAATCTTGCATCTTGGTTTTCTGGCTGAGAGTGAAGGACCGTCCTTGTTTGCATGTAATCTTTACCCTGTTTCCATCATTTGAGCATTTGGAACAGTATGAGGCTACTGTGTAACCTAAGAAGAGTAGCACTTTACTTGGATAAGGTACATAACTGGATTTTTTAAAAAACCCCATAAAGTTTCTGTAATGATGCATCACTGTGGTTATCTAACAGGGCAGGGGGGAAAAACCTTGCATGACTACTACAGGATTGTGAATATTCTGTATACATAAGTATATACAGATTATACATTTCTGAATACGCTAGGCATAACCAGTAGTGTGTATATTTCTTCGTCTTCAGGGTATGAATTTTTGAGAGTCAGAGTTCCCGTCATCAGTCAGTTTGGTGTAGTGGTTCAGAGTGCTGACTCTAATCTGGGAGAACGGGGTTTGAGTCCCCACTTCTCCACATGCAGCTGCTGGTGTGACCTTGGGTCAGTCCCAGTTCTCTTAGAGCTGTTCTCTCAAGAGCAGTCCTCGAAAGAGCTCTCTCAGCCCCACCTACTTCACAGGGTGTCTTTTGTGGGGAGAGGAAGGGAAGGAGATTGTAAGCCGCTTTGAGACTCCCGAGTGAAGGGCGGAGTATAAATCCAGTCTCCTCCTCCTCCTCCTGAAGGGAGCTTTGACACTCGAAAGCCCATATGTTGAAACTTTTGTTGGTCCCTAAGGTGCTACTGGACTCAAATCTGCCCCATGATCAGAAGGAGTAGGAACAGGCTTCCTTTTAAAAAATTAAAGGCTGAAGTTTTAAAGAAGCCAACTTCTCCAAAAGATACCAAATCCTGCATTTGCATGATATGGTTGGAGATGTACAAGAATACACACAAATCCAGAAAAAGATTTTTAAAAATAAAGTAGCTTCGTGTGTGTGTTCATGTATTCATTTCTTCTGGTTTGGCCCCATGTCTGTCTCTGCCTCTTTTTTCGTTACTGACTTGTGACTCCAGTGCAAATGTATTAGAATGGAACAGCAGATGCTGCCTGCCCTCCAGCGTAACATTTGCCACTGTTCCCTCTGCCTCAAGCCTGTAGCATTGTCCGCCTGGATGCCAGCATGTGCAAGCAGAATGTTTGACCCACCCATAGAGGCGGCGCTGCCTTTTGTCAGAGAGGAGCAAATGTAACGTTTGTTGTATCTTCCCTGGTCTGCTTTATTGCCTGCCGATGCCAGTGAACAGAAGCAAAATGTTTGTGTCTGAACTTAGCAAACACAGCGCCAAAGAGAACAGAACAGCAAACAAACAGGAGCCACTGATGACAGAGAATCGAATCGAAATCCTCCTAGAGTCAGTGAGCCAGCAGTGTGGTTGGTATAAATGGCACACTGTAAAAAAGAGTACTATGCAAGCAGTTTTCTTTGGTGGCACAATCCGTGTGCGGCTCTGTGGACTGGTAAATGTCCCTGCCAGCTACATATCTGTTGAGTCATTCCGTCCCACTGAACGTCTTGAACTCTAAGGTAGGCAGCAAGGAACCAGAGAAATGGCCAGAACCAAAGATTTTGTGAATACTATTGATTTATTAATTTTCTAGTTCAGAGTATGTATAATAACTATATTAATGAATGGGGCATTTGAAATACACGTACCTAAACAGCCCTTTCCTGTTGTTTGTCCCCAGTAGCTGGTATTCAGCCTTAAACAGCCTCCTGGACTAAAATGTATGATCACGGCTAATATACTGATAGACTAATTGACCATGAATTTGCCAAATCTCTTTTTTTATAAATAACCCCGTGAGTGACTGCCTCTTAATGCTTCCTCCATGAATTCAATAGATATCCTTTTTGATTATGTACTCATTTATCCTCATCAATGGACAGAAAAGCCATTGGCCCCAGTGGTATTCTGTATTGATAGTACTTAATCATAAGAGGCATCTATTGAAGAGAACACAATATGTGATCATGAAAATAGTCTTGTATAATTTTATTGCCATGGATGTACAATGCGTAACAGCCGTTCTGAAGCAACTGGACACAATTAGCTCTTATAACACACGCACATTGAGTGTGAATGTACTCAGTTTCTACCACATTTTCTAGTCAGTCTTCCTTAATTCCATTCCTAACTGACTTTTATCCATGTGGGTCTCATGATCTTTGGCATAGCGTTTTGGTGGTCAAAGGAGGCTCCTCATTCCTCCAGTTTGGTGTAGTGGTTAGGAGCGCAGACTCTAATCTGGGAGAACCGGGTTTGAGTTCCCCACTCCTCCACTTGCAGCTGCTGGTGTGACCTTGGGTCAGTCATAAGCTCTTTCAGAGCTGTTCTCTCAAGAGCAGTCCTTGAAAGAGCTCTCTCAGCCCCACCTACCTCACAGGGTATCTGTTGTGGGGAGATGAAAGGAAAGGAGACTGTAAACCACTCTGAGACTCCCAAGTGAAGGGTGGGGTATAAATCCAATCTCTTCTTCCTTTGCCATCAGAAACACTGGTAGGGATCGCCCATTGCTTGGGAACTCACACCATTCAGATAGCTTCAGTATTTCAGGAAAGCAAAGCACCCACCTCAGTGTTCAGTGCAAGAATGCGATGAGTCACATCCCACATGCACAACAAGGTCTCCCCTGTGGAGACTGATCGGTGGTTAGGTGG